ACTAGACGCTAGACACTTTTTTCTCATTTTATGTCACCGTCCATTATGTTAACATTATTTAAGGGTTTATGTCGGTCACGAAAGCGAACCCCAGTGAGCTACGATCCGACACTGCCGGGCTTACAAGACGAAGTGCCCCGCGCTTTATACTTCAAGATCGTTCAGCCCATTTTCCTTTGCCAAGGATGTATACTCGCGAGCGTGCCCTCGAGACGTATAAACGATACGTCGCCAAAAAGTCACTTGACTTGCGAATTTATTGATCTTTCACCGGCGAATAAACCGACGATTCTTAATGCGATTGCCTGAGAGTCTTCGGATCGTACCTTGGGGAAGGGAACAGAGAAAGGAGCCCGGAATGGTTTTGATCTTTGCGCTTTTCATATTCGGCCTACGATAACTTACTCCCTCGAGATTGTCTTCAAGGGATTTGAAATTCTTTGATATTTCCTGTCCCTTATTCGAGGCCGCCGCAGTATCTAATATGGATGCTGAAACGGATTTCGTGTTATGCCCCATCTCTGTCTCCTCAAGGACATCGGGCATACGGTATATAAAATAGGGAGGAGAGGTATCGAAAGGATGGAAACTCAATTTTGAATGATGTAGTACAGGTTATGAACTCGAGAAAGTTACTTGGTAAAAATCAATTTATACTTTACGCGTTTCAATATAAATTCTGACAGTTTAGCTACCTATAAAATCACTAGGCAAATTTGCCGGTCCTTGTCGCTTATAAATAATGGATACCGTATAAATATGATTTTGTATGTTATGAGATCGTCCAGGTATCGGAAAGTGGCTTGCCAATAGCCGAATGCCAAAATCTGCCCTTCGGCAAGATTCCGGGTCCCTCCAGAGATACTCAGTCAAATATTTGTACCTGTAACTCTCTAACTTGTCGATAGGTATATCGATTCGAACCAATCGATTTCTCGTATAGGACTACATGACGCATACGTCTAAGAACGTGATCCGAGACACGTAGTAGCATAGAGTTTTCCAGGTGTTTCAAATTCAGTATATGCTATACCGTACACGTGGGTACGAAGTGTATATAGATATAACAATACCTGTCTGTATACGGTAACAGTCTTTCGTTTACTTTACATTGACTATTCGCTTATTCGGTTTATCGAAATGTTATTTGCATTAGCAAGTATAGTATACCGGGTGTTTCGTGTGATTTGATCGAAAGTAAAGAGGAATAAAATTGATCTCTTATCGGGTCCTCTTGCAGCTGGGATCAAGGGAGAGACAATTTTATCAAGTTGGTAGACAGGGCCAATATGACTAACTTTGATAAGCCTGTGGAATCAAAATGGTTGATGTCAATAGTCGAAAGTTTTATGTCAATTGAACAAATTATACGGGTCGTTCTGCGAGGAGTACAGGTTTACGAATTAGAATTAGTTTGTCTCTGGAATTAGCAAGAATTAACCCTCGGAAAGTTAGCTTGAATGTCGCTATGATTTCACGAGAGTAATAACGTTCAATTGGCAAAGGATTAATTGTCGGGGCGAAGTTCGTGAAGGCTTAATTTCTTCGCGATTCGTCCCTTTATCGTTAAGAAACCGCATGAATGACTCCTTTACCAATATAGAAGATGCGAGGCACACGATTTTCGAATTGGGTTCCCATTCGCTGAACGGATTCGGTTTTCCTTTGGGGGATTAAATAAGGGTTGTAGTAAAAGAGGGTTCAAGCTGATCCCGCAGGAGTTTCAAGATAGAAGCGACCAATGTCGAAGGTCACATCTTTCTCCCCTTCTATTTCTCTTACTTCGATACCTTTGACTCAAGATATTTTCTCATTTCTATAGGACAATCCTGATCGTTCTTCTATTTGAAAAATCGATTTTCTTAACGGTCCAATCAGTAATGATGACCATTCGCTGTGTATGAATTTTTTTTTTTCACCAAAAATCAATGCAATTGCCAATATGTTATTCATGGCGCAAAAATTATTTGCGACAACTACTTTAAAGATTTTCAATGGATTTTCAATTTCGAGTTAGCAAAGGCCCAACTGTAATAATGGCCTTTGACCATTTGGATACGGTAGAAGGGATGATGATCGCTGACCCGTGCTCTGTACTTGCTAAATTAAATTACAGCCCTGACTATAATAATGGTGTTTGTCACTCTGATCTATGCGAAATCTTCATACCAACTAAACTCTTCGTATCTTCCTATAAGCATCCCACGAAGATATTAGTAAAAATTTTACGAATGGTGTAATCAAACGAATATCAATAATTTATATAGAATCCAACAAATTCAGCTTGATTTCTGTATGTCGTACGTAGCAAAGCGGATGTTAAATATAACGGATGCACGAGCATAGGGGGGGATGGCGATGTAAATGACGATAAATAAAATTTATTATCGCAAGACACAAAGTGTCATGTAAACGGAAGTGATGCGAGAGTCTGTGAGAGAATGTAGTAGCAGAAAGGTGAAGAGGCGAGGAGAGGGAAAGTGTTCCCAAGAGAGCGACTATCGCCAAGCACAGAGTTATAGTGGGTAACTAGCTTTGATGCATGACCGAGCGATAATCCTATCTCCTGTACGGGAAGCACTGCTGCCAACTGACTGTAGCTTCCACCACTGTACCTACTGTATCTACAGGACGTTACAGTAGAACTGTAGGATACAGTAGGTAGAACAGTACCTTCTGTACCACGAGATACACACCACCTCTAACCACAGGGATGCAGACCTCGATGACTTAGTGGCTATCGAGGAAGATGCTTACTAAGCGGCATAATAGCTTCCATTGACGTTAGGTTAGTTCGCGCTAGACAAGCTGCCAGAGAGAGGGGTAGAGAAAGAGAGAGAGGATGTCCAGGAATATAACAAAGGGTGGGACAATGAGGGTGAGAGAAAGAGATAGAGCGAGGATAGTAATTACGTGCTTCGTTAATGCGCGTGAGACACTTCCAAGTTGCAAATATTATTGATAATTGTACGTCTGACGAGGTGTTTTTTCAAATAAAAATTCAAAATTTGTACTTTCATTTTTGGGTGTCATAAAAAGTATTTAAATTATTAGGGACTACATTCCTTGCTAATAGTCTTATTGCACTGAACTTAAGCTCAAGGAAACGCAAAATAAAATCATCGAGAATCGATTGGCACACGCGTTAAGATGGCATCTCTTTGCCCGCGGCAGCCAAATGAAATTGCATCCAGAATTTCAATATGGCAGTTGCACATTTCATATTTGAACCACGCGTTCAAAACGCCTCGGGCTATGACAAGTATTACGCGGAGTTACCAAGACCTCCGAGTCCTTACTTTTTATCACTGATGAGAATATGTATCGGATATGTGAATTTTGAGAATGATGACGCCAAAGAATTCCGGGACCTGGAAGATGGATCGTCACGACGGTATCTCGCTGGACTGAGAAGTAAAGCGAAGATTGAATGCTGTAAAAAAAGTACGCGGGAAAAAATAACATTATGAATGTCACTCTTGGCACGTTCCGTCATTATTATTTCTGACGTAGCTTCACTTCCGGTTATGCAATAGCATACACTATATCTTCGTACTGTACGTGTATAGGTACATGAAAAAAAAAATGGACAAAGCATCAAAATAAAATCAGCAGCTTTTCCAAAAACTCGATGACCGTTATCACTCATCCTCGGAGGACCGGAAGGCAATATATTATCTCTAAATCGGCTCAATATTTTCACTCAAGTTCTTCATTAAGTTTCTCTCATTATAATTTCACTCAAGTTCTTCAGTCGCGAATATTATAGCTTTCTGCCACGAAATCTACAACATGTCAAAAAATCTGCCAACCCCCCCATAAGAGTTTAGAATTGCACATGGTCGTGCTCGAGAATAAAAAAAGAATTTATAAAACAACAATGTCCATGCCCATAGCGAGAGGCATCTACTGTTCTGTAAAAATCCCTCGGGATTTGATCGCACACCACTAGCGGAACCATTACTAAGATTTATTGCCCAGAGAACAGTTCCAGTAATCGACCGGGAACTTGTGTTCCATGTACGAGGTCGACCGCTCTACCGTAACGATAGTAACAAAAACATTTATTCACCAAATTAAATCTCCGATTGAAAGGAGAAGATTTATCCGAATTTATTCAGCAATCAGAGCTCGCAGCCTCTTCGCTATATGGATCAGACAGAATCTTCTTCATACCTACATATGGCGTACGTACCCGTACAAGACACATGAATCAATATATAATATACAGATATATGCCCTTGGTATAATCCATTACTGTAGAATATATCCTCTGCATAATATAAATTAACATTTTTCCCATATTCTCATCTCAATATCGGACTAACCACGTGGCATCCGTTAAATATCTCCTTTTGCTCTTATCACGTCACCGTATTTGACCCACGTCTCTTCTCTTTACGAGACTCGTCTCAGCTCCGCTTGTTCTTATTCCTTCCTTCACGCTATCGCTACTTTCGATGAGCTTTCACGTATCAGGTGCGCGGCCATCACGTGTTCGACACAGCATGCGTGTGTCGCGCCGTTGGAATATAAATGCTAAGATCGTTCGCTATCTGCCCTTTTGTGTGCTTCGAAAATGTAACATCGCCCGAAAATAAAAGTTTCTCGAGTCGTCAGCACTTTTGCTCGACCTTCCCTTCGTAATTCCTCGCTGAGCGAAACGGAACGTCTCTACGTGCGAGATGCGCAGCGCTTCTACATAGGTTATCACGGCGAGATGTAGACAAGGGATATAAAAGCCCGTGTCTTATGCTTTACGTCTGCTTCGCGAAATGACTAAATGAAATTGTTGAGCTTACAACAGGGTACAGTATGTGTTTCAGGAGTATGAAATTCGTCCACCACACCCTCGCCTGTCCCGTTTCCGCTTTCATAATGGCCTAGTAGGTACACGTGTATCATACATTATACAACGGTACCTTGAATACCCTACGCATACGCCTCTAAGCTTACACTAATGTTATTTTTATAAATCCAATTTTTCTTTCACTTTTCAGTATGCCACTTACTCAAGACTGGGGTAGCCGCGATTTTCGGCCCGCAGAGTGCGCACACGGCCTCCCACGTGCAGAGCATCTGCGACACCATGGAAATACCACACTTGGAGACACGCTGGGACTATCGACTCAGACGGGAGAGCTGTCTTGTCAATCTTTACCCACATCCTACAACGTTATCCAAGGTACGTATTTTAAGCTCAATATTACTTACACCGACGTTCAAAGTGCACGGTCCATTTAAAAGTATATCCTTCGATACCCTGGAAAATTTCATTCTCTACTCCGACGTACGGAATGCGCATTCCGCCAAGATATTTGGCGATAGTTAAGCATACTCGAGAAAGTTTTTTTATCTCATCTCAGTTAGCTCATCTCGTAATGACCTTTTACCCTGGGTTACGTTGTCCTGAATACAGTGCGTAGCTCTTTGCCAGCTCTGCTTCCAAGATGCGTGGCTCGTTCATTAATCCAAGGGAAGTCGAGATCCCGAAGTAATTGAAACTTCCGAGAGAAGGAGAACGTGTCTCCCCTCTCTTCTGCCCCCCCACCCGCTTCCGTCCTATCGCCGCTCATCCACCAACTTAGGTTCTTTGCTACTTAAAAGCAAGGACCTGCTTCCCGGGATAATAAGAGTTCTCGCAGATTCTCGGCGAGTCTCGTCGCTTTTCCAATATTTGCTACTCCAGTCGCGAATACTTCGGGACACTTGGCACTCCTTCAATATTTGCTACTGTGCCAACCGGCTGGGCTCCACACCGGGAATCTTCGTATTCGCGCACGACGAATTAAGACGGGATTCGCCCGTGTGTTGCGATTATCACTTTATGGTAGAGGACTCCGTCCTACTTGACATGCACTCAGGTACACTTTAATCCGACAAGCATTTTGCTACTGGTTTATACTCTTTTTAATTAAAATTCCACTGTCTCTGATATATGACTTATACCTTCGTTTTATTAGGGCCTTAATTTTATGTACTGTAACGCCCTGGCAAACGGTTTGGTAGACTATTTGTTGCAATAGATTCAGGTTTGTAATCTTGAGTGCAACGGACCGAAGATCTATTCAAATAGTCGGTAATATTGCAGTGCTGCAATAATAGTAGATTATGTATGCATATACGTGTATATATATATATATATATATATATTCTAGAGTTAGATGATGCATCGGTTACATACATAAATATATATCTATATATGCGTGATACCAGAAACGTAATTTCGAGAAAATTAGCATTAATATCAGTACAATATATGCGTGAAGGAAGCCGAAAACGTTACGTTAAATTCACAAGTTTCTCATTGTATCTGATATCGTGTAGACGCTTCATTTACCGCCGTGTTATACGGGTATAAATTCGATGAGAGATTTAACCGCAACGTGCAATGATAAAGTATCATGGGAGTTTCGTGTGTCTTCGTTCAATTTATCACGTACTGGGTATTAGCGAATGTCATTTTCAATTCCGTATATTCCTCAAAGGAACGACGATGCTCTTCTATATGCATGATTTTCGTATTTTGCTATACGGACGGATATGCAAAATGCAAGGAATCGTTAATCAGCGTCAATATAGATTCGAAAATAAAAATAGTCTTCGAGTCAGAGAGAAGCGATTCAGTCGGGAGACACTTCGCAAAAGAAATATATTTTCCTTTGCAGTTCAATCCTGCTGCGAGGATCAAAGGAGCCCGAAAGAAGCCACGAGAAAATTAAAGCGCTAACGTACCATATATACCTATAGCTAAGATCTTTGATTCGCCCAGATAGAATGGATGGACTCCATCTTGAAACTTTAATGCATTCGTTTCGGGAATAATTGGATAAGTTCGACCGAGCCGATGTTGCCGAAACAATCAAATTATCCCCGAGCTCTTAAAATGGCTTTGAATTTGTCTTCTGTTGGTTTCAAACTATCACGCCAATAGTAAATGTACCATTGAGAGCCACTAACAATGCTATTGGATTTTTTTTTCGGAATTTTTATGAATTCTCCTTTTCTTTTAAATTGTCATTTTTACAAGGCTTCCTTGTCATTTTCATGAAATTGTCACTTTTTTGTTGTGCGATGAAACCTTAGCTATTTTACTCGTTATACGGAATGGATAGACTCGCGCAATTTCATGACGTACAATAATACAGGTAATAAAGGCTGGTACGCAGTGAATGAACCGCAAGGACTACAGTTGCAGTCATACCAATAATTTAACAATCCTTCTGTGATAATGAACTGGTACCGTAGATGCTTGGATATTACTGTAGCTATTGTGATTGGTCGTATCAGCTACTGTGTTTCCGTTGGAATTCAATTTGTAACGTTTCCTACGTATACGGTCCGGGCACATTCCTCGTTACAGTTTCCACACTCAGTACCTCGGCCATACTAATGTTTCCAGGAATATACATATACGTGTACTAAAGCAAGGGTATTCTTGAAACGCTCAATACTCTGAATTCTACTTTGGAGTTTCAATTGTACGTGCACGCTTATATACTACTCTGTACGTAGCTTTCAATCGTTTATCTCTAGGGTGAGGTTTACTAATCAACGCCATTGAAGATACCGACCAGATTGCGTCTGGAGTATTCTGGGAATCTGGGAATTCAAAGAGATTCTCAGTTGCGTCGGGCAGACGACTTTTTGGAGAATTTCCGATTTATTTGCAATTGCGCGTCCCTACGATATTTCGTGTCAATTTTATTCTCACTTTATATCCGACTTGCCCCTCTTTACTGCCCTCCCATGTGTTATTTATGTCCGTCGACTCTCGCTCGCTGTATTTGGAAAAAAGGAAAATGTTATTTCCCCTTTTCTTTAATGGATGACGTATTGGCTACTTATTGTATTCATTGAACAATTTTTTTATTTTTTTTTTATTTTTTCCAAAATTCTTGTATCTGTAAGTACAATGTTAAAGACGCTTTATAAAATGCTTTGAGATATCGAAAAATCGTTTTTATATTTTGGCGGTTGGTCCGTCATTAAAATTTCTGTCGAATATGATGGTTTGGTCCTATCGAGGATTTTGTCCACAAATATTATTAACGTAATGATACGTAATTATTTGAGTTAGTTTGGAATACCCGCGAGTCTCCTTTCATGAAAACTTTGTTATCCCCACGGGCTCGATTTTCTTTGCAGATTTTCATATTCCCCCACCAAAACGAAACTTTCCTTCACCCTCAATAATTAGGTACACTTCAAAGCTCACGTTCATTAGGTTTAAGTAATTTTGAAAATTCAGTAAAGAACCATTGAAAAGAATCACAAGTCTCTTATTTATCTTATTGCGACATCTTATTAACGTCCCAACCCCTATTTCATCGAATAGCTACTTTCACGGCATTACCTACCCTTAACACTATTACATTCCACTGAGCTCAATAGATATTCCAATAATAATTTCAATGCGTACAAATATCAAACTGAATCGCACGCCCTTGGAGACTTGCTATGAATCGAGACTCGTGCTTCGTACAGCAAAAGGAAAATGAAAAAGTGTAGAAAAAAGAATTCGCGTTAAAATCAATATCCAATAAGTATGCAAGGAGTCGCGCTTGGAAGTGGAGAGGCGCGAAATAAATTACGCGGCACGATCAACGGAATTATATTGGAAATAGTTGGTATATTTCCCTGGAGTATAATTCGCTCACTCCCATCTTCGTGCGTAAATACGACAAAAGAAAATGTTCCGTCATTAAAAATAAAAATTTGTTCCCCTCAATATTCTTTGACGATATATAATTGTTTTGCACTGGCAAAGTTCGCACTTTCAATCTGTATCCCACTTAACGACTTTCGTAATAACCAGTTAAGACCTCCGTCCTACAATTTACCCAAAATTCACTTCGTAGCGAACCCCTATTAATTCTCACGATTAGTCCGGAAATGTCTAATCAAGGAAAAACGGACGATCTGGCATTCGTCTAGCTCTTATTGTACTTCGCTCAAACACATCAGTCTTCCGGTTCTTTCGTAACTTTCGAACTGAAAAACTGTTTTGGTGGGGAGATCATAATTGAAACAAACGAGCACACTGCTACCACCCCTCGGATAAGTGGACATTACGGTAATGACCAGGCATCTCGAAAAGTTTTTTTTTTTTTCGTCAGACCCTCGGAGAAGCTCTGTCGGACCATGATGTGTGCTCGTAGTTGAATGTAAAGGAAATCCCGCAGAATAAGAGGATTCGCTGAGTAAGGGACTAAAAAAAATAATTTAGAGTGCGATGAGCAGCGGTGCTTAAGTACGGTGAACGTGCGTATACGTATTTCTGGCAACACTGTTCCGAGTAGATACTGGCATACGGGAACTGCGGGATTTCGTGAAAATATCAACCTCTCAAATATACTCCCATAAGTAGCATTAGGTTCAGTCATTTTTCATCTGCACAGACGCCACTGTATGATTACGTGCGGCACGCGACGAATTTTATTGCCATGCTGGCTCTGGGGGACGATTCCTTCGAAATATGAAAGCTATACGGTTTTTACGTCAGGAATTTGCGAACCGAGACGATGCGGTAAAGTGATTTGAGTCGATATATAATAAAAAGTGATTTTTCGATAGAGCGTACGTTATACAGCCTCCCATACGGGTCCAGGCAGCCCTTTTGTATGTCCCCCTAACGCGAATGGGATACCGTCCAGAAGATTTAGGGGGGAGATTCCTCGTCCTGTTTTCAAAAATACACGTCCATGGATTTCGATACCCGAAAGATATATCGTTTAGGGATTATACGGGGTGTTACAAAAAACTATTTCATTTTTTTTGTCAGTACAAGATTAGCAGTTAAAACACGATACTGGGAGGGAAACGAGGGGTGAACGTGTTATTACGCAGGCGCGAGATGCATTATTTACAAGTGCACTAGTGATTATAAAAAAATAATTTGCAGTGCATTATTTGTGCTAGATCGAGAGAAGAAGAGAAAGCAGAGAAATGGAAGGTAATCTTCGTATTTTTTTTCTTCAGTGCTCTCAACGATAGTGCAACCAGAACTGAGTGAAGGCTCTTAAGCTCCATTTACATGGAATCTTTTTCCAATTTTCTTTTCTATTTGACGATTAATCTTTGATATCAAAATAAATGTTATCTCGTACCTTATAACTTAATAGTTTAGGAAAAAGTAGTTTTATACATATATTCCATGTCAAGTTATAGAGTTTTATATTTATCGTATCATTATTTATTTAATTTTACATTTTATTCATTACAAAGAGAATGTCGGAATGTGGACTAGGAGCGGTTTGGTAGTGCAGCAACATGGTGTAGAGAATTGCAACGCGACGCTGCAATTACAGTGCACCTTGCAATCCGACGGTCATTCACTAGACAAGCATTCGGAAGGCTGAACCGTGGAATAAAACGGCGAATGGGGGCTGCAGGCGACGACGATTTATTATATACTTTGTACCCTGTAGTAAAATAAGCTGATCGCAACGACCAGCGACCGTGGACAGTTTGATGTACGGAGCAGCTGTCAGCTCGCAATTAAATGTAGTAATTTGTTAAAAACTACGTTGAAGGTGAAAGGCTTGATGCTGTACACGCGTGTAACCATTTGGCTATTCGGTTCAACATCTTTTTTGCCAATAAATTATACGACGTCGCAGAATTAGTGTAGCGTCGAGGAAAAAGCAGAGCATGAAAAAAAAACTAAAATTATCTCGGAATATCATTTTGACTTGTCTCCGCGCGAATTTCACAGATACATAATTTTCCTTAAAAATCTAAAAAATTCACTGAATGTTGCGTGAAACAAATTTCTATAATTGTAATTATATATACGTATACGCGATCAATTTCTATGGGATATACAAATATACGTTCTAGACTTCATTACGCGTATTGCGAGGCGTTCAGAAAATTCTGATCAGACTTTTTGCAGAAAAAAAAAGAATGAATCGAAAGAGAAGAAAAAAAAATTTTACGTTTCTAGTTTATAGAAACTGTACATTTTTCCTTTTAAGCTCATCAATCAAAGAGCAGCGCACAGGCAATGGAAAACCGTAGAGCAAATACAGAGTTCGTTTAAAGTAGAGAGATCGAGAAATACATAAGATAGAGTGGGAAAAGCAACAAAAAAATGAAAGTTTTTTTTTTTTATATAGCAGTCGCGTTACCGTGATTGCATCCCTCTTGTCCGCTCTACTCAATTGGCTCGGTTATATTTTTATTCCTTTAAAAATCAACCCCTGTCACGATTAATATATTCTCCAACCTAGTCGAGTTGCCCCTGCGCTATGGAATTCTCCGACCTTATAAAGCGTCGCTACACGGTTCCGTAAGAAATAAATTAACCACGAGGTTATGCAGTTTCCTACTACGTCGCGCGAGACCCTGGAAACTCGTTACTTCCGTTTCCTGTTCCACGTGGTAACCTCTAGGCTCCGCTATAGACCTGAAAATTCAGTGAAGCACGTAACAACAAACGGTAGTTTTTGTTTTTCCAGATGAAAAACATATTCCAAGATGGACTTGTACATTCTCTATGCGTTGTATATATAACATGAAGAAAAGAATATCACACTCAAACGTAACCAACTACGTACGTAGCATATATGTATCCTTTATTACACATTCGTCGGGGCGTCTAGTCGTCATCTACCTCCACGCTCCCTGAAACCTATAGAATTGCCGTTCTAATAGCAACGGGATCGTAAACGTGCGTGCTGTACGCACATTTACGTAACGAGTGACGTATGACTGAAGGTGAACATCCTCGTTTACGAGTCTCGGTGACATCGTTATACTCTCGGTATATTATATAGCAAAGCATTACGCTGCTTGGCGACGTCGGGACGCACGTAATATGTGTGGGGACCTTCAACGTCGGCGTAAGTACTCGGTCCTCATTAGTAAGCAGTGCAGTGTCTTTTACTTTTATCTCGGCTCAACTTGAAAATATGTATACGCGCAAACCAGTTGAACGTCCTTTCCACTCATTCTTGTCTAGTTCACGGTGGGAATGAGGTGGGAAGGAGCGTATGAAAGACGAGAGAGAGAGAGAGAGAGAGAGAGAGAGAGAGAGAGAGAGAGAGAGAGAGAGAGAGAGAGAGAGAGAGAGTCGGAGGGTTAGCAGAGAGTAAGATGAAGATGGTGAAGGATAGAAGTACAGGGTATGCAAGGATCAAAACGAGAGTGCTGGTACTTTCTATAGAGGCTTTCTTCCTTGCCATTTTACTGACTCTGTAAAATGTTCACCTCGGACGGTGCATTAATTTCGATGATTCTACGTGGCTGCCATTGATACCACATATCAGCATTGCAGTCACCATAGGAAAAGTACTGTATAAATGGGAGAATACGCCGTATGCGCTGTACCTGCAGTACCTATAGACATAACTATTCCATGCTCTTCTTCTCCTCCAACCTGTAAGGCACTCAGTCACATACGTGCCTGAAATAGTAAAGGCCAACAATCATAAATTCTGACTTCTGTAAAATGATCGTAGGTGAATTTCACCGATACCGAGATAAAGGACGCGGCGAGGTGTGCTTCCCTGGTAAAATATTTCTGCACAATTTACATTGCCCGCGAAAGCTTCGCCGATCGTCACGCTTCGCCAATACGTAATGCACTGTGCTCGGAGCTCGAAGTCTGTATTTATAAGTTATCGCCGCTAACCCGACGTATTTGAACTTTCATGAGGTCAGGGCTGCAGTCGTGACAGTCTGCCGAATACTTCTGCCTGTTAAATAAGTTTTGGAACGATTGCTCCACGGGAATGTGTAAATTTTTCGTTTTATTTGTATCTTTAATCTTTACTATTTTTTTTTTTTTTTTTTCTTATTTTTGTAATGAGACAACGTCAGCAACGCCCTCTAGACGTTACTTTTCTCTTGCATCTCGAGTTTTCCGATACGGATTTGCGTTGCTGTAAACACTTGGGAAAAAAAAGTCTCTAATCCTAGCGCGCTCGCTTCAGATATGCAGATATATTTCATACAAATGTATAAGGCATAAATATTTCATTGTTCCATACTGTGGCCATGCATAAATTTATCGTAAATTTATTGTCTCCGCTTCCGAGATACACGTCGTATATGTATATTCTTAATACCGATGTCCGACGATGTTATATTTTTACTTTCTTCTTTTTCGAAATTGGTTTTTTAAGGAGTCTTTACATACATTTGCATTCGTACTCGCGGACCATCGCGTTTACCTATTCATACGGTTCTCGCAGCGTCCTTAGGACGAAATAACTTTCATTTTTCAACGTGACACATGACTTTTGCACGCTGTCGGAAGAGAATTTATTTTTCACGTTGTTCCAAAGGTATCGTTTGTAAAAACCGACGTCAATCTTTATTCGACTTTACATTTATAACTTTTAACCGAAGGCAGAAGAGTGAAATGCGAATTACGTAATACGAAAGTCTGTTTTGCGAATATATTGTTATGCGAAAAAGTCTTTCCGGCGAACTTCAGGCCCTTCGGTTGGTATATTTGACCATTGGGGGGACGACGCTGCGAACCGAGCTATTTGCCGGCTAAAAGGCTGAAAGGTTGACTCGTTCTGTGAAATATGTAGTAGCCTGTGAGGGTGCCTCGCCAGGGTGGAAAAATTTACACGCCCCAGTTACTTACTTCGGTTTCACATTTACCGTTCCTGAAATTGAAACTGAATTCATTGTGAGGGAACATGTCTTTTTTTTCGCGGAAGATATTCTGCGACTGAGGAAAATGGCTTCGATTGCCTGATTCGTGAAAAACGCATAGTTCGTATGGACGTAGTCGAAAGAAATTTAACCCGGAGTCTCGCATCGGTGGATGCGGACATTGCGGAAATTCTTACGCACTGAATTTCATAGGGTTCAACACACCCGGTCCCTCATCTCCTCCCCATCCCTATTTTCCCTTCCTTACCTACACTGTGTATACAGTTTCTGCGCATCTTTCTTCTTCCCACCCGGCAACCATTGAAAAGTCGTCCCTTTGATAATATATATTCCGGGATACCTGTCTAGTATACCGAAGAAACAGGTAAGACATTGCCAATGGCTGCTTCGAACGTGTCGTGTACTTTTCCATGGTTCCCAAATTCCCATTATTCACATAGAGGTAAATGGGACAGACCGGAGTATAGATTTTTGTAATTGCCAAAAAAAATATTGTACACTAAAATTATTATTACTGTTCTATTATTATTCATTAATAATATTGTTATTAATATTTACGTAGTATCAATGTCAGATAAGGGAGTTAATTAGAGTCCGATACATACAGAAGGTCCAATCTGGTATTTTTTCAGGCGTACGTCGATCTCGTGAAGGCATGGGACTGGAAAAGTTTCACCATCATTTACGAGAACAACGAAGGCCTGGTGCGTCTTCAGGAACTGTTGAAAGCTCATGGACCCAGCGAATTTCCAATAGCCGTAAGACAGCTGGGCGAAGGATCCGACTATCGGTAAGTTAAGTCTTCACTCTTCTATGATATATTAAGTTGAAATCTTCGTTATCGAAGAGCTCAAAGATCGAGCCGATCGTTAATCAAAAATTATCCACGTCGATCCGGTTCGTAATGCACACGAAAACGAATTGGAGTTAATCGCTCAAGAATCCACTCGTTCCCGGCATTAACCTAGAATTTATACGAAAGCCATATTCAAAGTGGAGATCGGTAGCGGACTCAAACTTTTACTCAAGATCTTCATCCCGTGGATTCACTTTGAATCTCTTTTTTGCTCCAACCGGAATCTATATACCTCGTTTGCCACATTCACCCGCTTCAGCCCATTCACCATGTCAGTCGTTCTTTTTACTCTCTTAGGAGAATACGTTTGTTTTACATTCCGAGTGTTTTGCCGCGTCTTATCTTCGTGTCCGATGGGGGGTGAAAAGTTCTTCCAGCCGTCGATACATTATTCATAGAGTTATTTCGCAGCGATGATTTATTGCGAAAGCCTTTCGACTCGACGATAAGGTAGGAAGGAAGGAAGAAATAATACGAATCTGAATAAATAGCAGCTACCGGTAATATTTTGAGAGGGTTAATTGAATTTTCCCCGTCCATATCAATTCTATTTATTAACGACGTATCGCTGGTTGTAAACTTTGTCATAATATCGTATTCATTGGTACTAGTGGCACGGGGCGACGCGATGGAAACTCTCGAATTAGTTTGAGCTTTTCATGCAAGGTGCGTTTTCACGTAACGCGACCGTGACGGAATACACGTCTGGTACGTTGCAGGATAAATGGATTTCAAACGAACTCCGTTAGCTTTTACCTTTTTCTTGTATAGGTATATACGAACAAAGTTTTTCTCGCATTCGTGTTATCCAGCGTTTACGCTGTCTCAAGATAAGAACAGTAAATGCTCCTTCGTCCTTGGTTCTGACGGAAATTGTACCCGAGGTAGCTTCCTCTGGGAGTCGTAATCCACGAAGGAACAACAGCGTTCACGACCTTACTCTGGGCGAGAATTTCTATGAAAGTGGATACTCGCTCACGTGACTTTCGATGATTCATGAGAAATCGACGTAACAATGTTATATATTTTGCCGTGGTTGTATATACGTATATATAATATCGAACTACCGAACTTGACTGCGGTCAATTCTATTGGCATTTTGTGCCCCTCTGCGATCTTCAGATCCGTGGTAAATGAAGATAGACAGAGGCAATATGAGCCCCATAAGTAATTGAAATGTTGCGTAGCCACGGATGCGGAAGTCGCAAGACGCTTTAGCTAACGTCTGCTGCACCGTGATAAGAAATCGCGTTCAAAGACTTCAAACGAAAGGAAGTGGCTGGATAGAACTTTCACGAAGAAGCAATGGCCGTCCGCAAGATCCATGCTTGTTTGTACCAGACGTCCGTGAGCTCAGGGTCTGATTGATCAAAGGTAGATTTTGTGATATCCTACGGTTTTCCATCTACCTTCTATCTTAAACATCCCTGCACGCTACACCGTGTCCAGCCTTCCTTTTACGTCCTCTAACCCTTTACTATTTTTCCTTGGCAATTAGCTTTATCGTCGAGCGCAAATGAACAAACTTGGCAGAAGTCTTATCGATAAAACCGCACGGAGGAACGAGGAAAACTTTTCTTTGCGAAAGGAGTTTCGCGTCACCGCTCTCGCAACTTTGTATACCCGGTAATCCTTGAACCTCGCGCTAAACCGCAATATGATTTCGCACCTCGTGCGAAAGACGAGCGTAAGCGTTTTCACGTCGCAGACGCGTCTGACGATTAATGGCGAAAAATACGGTGCGATTTATACGTCGTTGGAGGGGGTGG